CATTAATTTTTGACAGACACCTGTACAAAATACTTGGACTAAAGCCAGCTAAGATTTTCTGTTATCTTGCATGTTTTATGAATCTATTCACGTCTAAATGCAGCACTTTTTTTTTTTGCGATGAGGCATTTGTTTTAATACTAAAATATCTGAATTACTTTGAATAAAGCTGGAAATTATGTCCCTTAATATAATTAAACAAATAAGGCACCAATGTTTTTGTAAGATATTTACATCTTTAAAGGACATTCGGTAGACTGATTCCCCACTGTTGGTTCAACCCCAAAACTTGTTTGTATTCAAAATTAATTATGACAATGCATATTTATATTGAAACAAACTATGTTAAAGGGAATTATATTATATTTATAATTAGAGGACACTTACGCACGTAATCACGCCATATTTGGAATTCGCATTTCCTAATATGGTACGATGAAAATACCCGTAAAATACCGCAAAATTACGGCATGATGTAACTTATGGCGTTACGGTTACAGATGTATAATTACCTAACAGTCTTGTAGTAATTTGAGTATCAGTCATGGTAATCTATTAATCTAATTTGCTGATAGAATCTACTGTTACATGAAGGGGAGAAATCAAATGTCCATCCATCGACAGTAAAACTGTGTTGAGTTGTTGCCTAAAAATATATTTTGTTTACCACATCACAGCACAATGTTGTAATTATTCTAAACACACATATACATATATGTGAATGAATCAGTGCAGGTTTTTTTCTCCACTTCAGTTATCACATATTGGAAAAAATTTATTTTTTTAATGTACTGATTTATCAATTTTTTTTTAGCTTGCAAAGTTGAATTGTACAAATCATGAGGTTTATAAATTAACTTCAGTATAATATACTTTGCATTTCAAGTTATCTCCATGATCAATATGTGTATTATAAACATCTTTCACAAAATCTGCAAACAAATTTAAAATTAATATTCATATAGTATTTTTATTCAAATTTTTGACTCTGAAAGCGTAAGGAATAATTATCGGGTATCAGTGCATCAAACTAGATACCTACACTTATTATATATATGTATATATGCCATACTTGTGACTCTTGAAGAAATACTCTCATTTTCAAAAACATTTGTCCACTCTGATTTCCAAACAAGTTGGAATACACATGCAGCTCTGCAGCATTAATGAATAATATTAAAACGGGAGGGTCGTCACCTTTGTACACTCAGGAATTGAGTCCAAAACGATAACACATGCTAAAAAAGCAAATGCTCCTGGGTAAATACTCATTTGTGAACAAAGGCATGCGCAGGCCACGCAGGCTTTAAGCGTGAACCGCGACTTTATACAGAGGAAATTGTTATTTGAATCTCTATTATTTTATCTTATTATACATGTATAATATGGCAGTATGACCAATGTAATTTATCTATATCTATGAAGCTCTGTGGTACACGTATAATCTAAAGATTTGACAATTCAAACTTGTGTATTTACTGGTAATTGAATGCCTACATTTAAAGTATTATGTCATAAGGGTCCCATGTGATGTTTACATTTTAATGCATATGAAGTATTAACCTGGTTCTTTTATGAGTAAATGTGTACCGTTACTAATAATGTGCTTTGCTCTTACTGCTCTTTCCAATTTGTTTTGTACCAGCTGTTCTCAGCAATGTCACCTTAAGCAAATCTGAAATTGTTATCAGCGCTTGATTTTCTACTTGTAGGGATATTTAGTTACCAGTACCTCCAGTATTTTCTTGTTTGTCCTTTTATTTTTATAAAGCCATTTTAGTTTTTTTTTATCAGAAGATCATTACCCAAACTTCATTGAAGATAATCACTGCTTTACTCTGCATGAGATACAAGTTTTTTTAAAGTGCATCACAGTCTTTGTACACCCTGTTATGGGTCCTCGCTCTACGTTCACACTACATGCAAAATGCATGATGCACAACACTCTAATAATAGTTTCTGATGGTGACATTGTGAACATCGTAAATTGTCCATAATTAATGAGAATGCCAAGGATGAAATTGTATTTCTTGCCATACTGTATGCATCAATATCTCACATACATTGTACATATCGTAAATGTTTTACTGTACAGTTTATGACTTAATGTGTTACACAAATCAGGCATGCCATGCTACATAATGTACATTAACAAAATAAAACCACATTTTATCCAACACAAAACAGATTCTGCGTTTTCTTCATTAATAACTCTTACTACGTGACCAGAACAATCTAGGATAATCTGTTCGCAACATAATGTGAGACTAGCATATAGTTGGGATGAGGCTAAAAACTAGTGCATTTCTCAGATTCCATTTCAGGCTTCTGTGTTCAAAGCGTACAATAGATGTCTTTGCACAACTGTTTCACCGATATCTGAAGTACCAATCACCAGATTGCAATGCGAAGACCTGCCTAGTTTTTAGTGAGAATACATGTCTAACTAAGTTGCATCTGTTCTTAATATCTCTAGAACTACTCAGCAGATGTCAATGAACTTAGTAAATATGCTATGGGATTGTCCAGACGTGATCAGGTCTTGGTTGAATATTAAGCTTTTCCATGGGTACATGGGCGTAATCCTCCAACTGCATAGGTTTGAAATTAAAATCTGTGCATATTACGGTAATTACCTAATTTGCATGAATTGAATTTTGCTGTCCAATATCTCTGGTACATAATGCATTAGCTAATTGAGCTTTTCCGATGATCATTAGATTTTAAGGAAATGCATACATTGCTCTGGCCACAATCCTCTGAAATTTGTCAAAATGGTTCCAGCCAGTCATATTAGATCAAATGCAGAACGATGTATTGGACAAGACCCTCAAATTTTAGCCTCTTCAGGGATACAAAGTCCACTGTAATGAAATGCCTGGGCAGATCTAAAACCAACCCACCCTGACAAGGTTTGAAGGTTGGTTTCATAATAGTAGCCAGTACCTATAACCCCTACTCGGAGGAATTTGGTTGGGATAGCTATACAGATGTAAGAATACATTGGGTGTGATATGTACTGAATAGTGTCTTGTGTTTATGCAATGGAGTGGAACAGTGTGTGCATTTATTTGCGTTTTCGTCAGATTGTCATGGCATTATTAAGTTATTATTCACACCTCACAACTGTGGTGTTTGTACATGTAGTTTACTTTAACAGTGACACTTATGGTCAGTATCTTGTAAACATATGCAGGAATGCATATTTCAAGGAAAATCACACACTTTTGTAAAAAGATAGTATCGCCAACCATTCTACATGAAATTCATAATGGGAAGGGAAAAATCATCCCTCATTTTAAAATGGAATATGCTATAGAAGTCCTCAAACAAAGTCAATATTTTAATGATCAAGCATCCAAAAAATGCAAATTTTGGTTGATGTGCATTTCCAATACATACAATAAGTTTCTAAATAATTAGAAATCTGAGCAGTAAAATTTAACTTCATTTGGAACTTGAGTAAATTATTTTTTCGTAGTGGAAATGTTGAATTATTAGAATGGATTTTGGAATTAAAGATGTCAATAACAGAAAAAGGGAGGTAACAAATCTTAAGCACAACAAGTTTTAGTTCTTGTCAATATGACCATTTTTAGCCAGGTGGTTAAAAAAATGTTTGTGTTGCATACTCGGATGTTATTCCCATAAAAGCCTTTAGATGCCAATCTTGGTAAAGCTGGCATGCGTTTGGTGGCTTTCTATTTTTAGGTACTCAAAATAGGCAAACTAAAGAACAATTGTTTTTCACAAATTATTTATTACTGGTGTATGTTATTCTTGAGAATACCATGAATCCCTGTTATAGAAAGAACTAGTTCAACAAGTGGAATTTTCCAAAATGTTTAAATTTATACAATTCACTTCACTTCAAACAAAATCTTGAAATATGTGTAGTCCTATATATTTGTTGGCAACACGCAGTTTCACAAGCAAAAACACAGTATGATGAAAACACGCTTGGATTTCTCAATAAATATACAGGACCAGTGAATATCGTCCAGCTTTGAATAACACACAACAAACTAAACCTCCACAGGATCTCTGAGTAGCTCAGTGAATTTCCTGATTTTGGTAGCTGTGGACATATCTACATACTTATCACCAATATTAACAACCATACCACCAAGTATCTTTGGATCGACCTGGGAATGAAAATTGAAGAATATATCATATCTAGTCAAGAAAAGTAACATGTCTGTCAACTTTCCCCTACATGCGTTTATTGCCCACACACTTCTGGAAATTATAAACTATCGCGAGTAAAAATATTGATACTTGCCTGCACATCTAGTTTTAATGATTCTCCTTTCTTTAAGAAACTTTTAATTGCTTCTTGTAAACTCTTCAGTTCTTTATCATCAAGAGCCTGGAAAAACAACATTATTAATATGGGACGACCAGATTTTAAAATTGATAGCCCCGATAATTATGGAAGAATTTGCAATGTTGACATTCTCATTACATGAATGCAAACACTGTAATATAAATGTGTCAAGTTCATGTTCCGTAGTTATTTAATGTCATACAGATAAGTGTGAATAGATAAAATCCCTACATGTATATGTATGAATGAATGAATGTATGTCACCAGGGGGGGAGTTGCATGACACGATTGGCTGAAATACTCGTCTCATTTGCATAAATTAATATTCATGAGCAATGAAAAACTCGTCTTTTCAGTAAAATTGTGCCAAAATGCTTTCCGATAGCATACATGTTAGTTCTAAATTGACCGATTCTATCGTTACGAGCTGGAAAAATTATCGGAAAAATGATGTAAAGGTATTTTTTGAGACGCGTTTTCGAGCGGACTCCAGCTAACTGTTGAAAGTAAGCACAGATTTTCTCTTTACCCTGATCATAGCAAGTTGCGATATTCATGGAGAATGCAGAGGCACGTTTAAATTTCACTCTAGTATTATTGCTCAAAATTGCTCAAAATGTTTTCGGTGACTTTTATT